AATATTAAGTAAGTCTTGGTTTTTTGTTTTTTACCAGGCAGTGAGGATTTTTTTTCACAGGACCATAAATTACAATATTTCCAAAAGTTTACACAATATATGGATATATGCATATGAATTGAAAGAAGAATTCTAAACAAGATTAATTATAAATTTGATTTCAATTATCCTTTTGGAACATGTTAAAATTATCCTTTAAAACATGTTACTCTTCAAGATTTTTAATTTGGAATGCATTTTGAAGAACTTTGTTTTCATTTAAATCCATATATTCACAGGATAAGGATATTAAAGTATAAAAATTTCAAAGCATGTTTTTAAAATTGTTTTTATTAATACTTTCAAATTTGCTCCTTAATCAACCCAAGAGGACATATGTATCAAACAATAAAACATATTTATTTATTTATTTATTAAGCAAAGTATTGAATACAACCCTTAATGGCTAAAATAAAGGAGTACAAGCAGCTAAGGCCATCGACTCTCTATTTTTAAAAGTTACGTATGAGAATATATATAAAATACATTAATTAAGAAGGTACTTGTTGTTACAAAATTAAACAAAAAATTCCAATTCATTTTATATACTTATATTGCATTCCTTGATGAAATTATATATACTAGATATGTTACTTAAAGAAATAGATTTTAAAATAGTAGCTGGGTTGACAGTGCCAAAATGTTTAAGCCTTAATCTCTCCAAAATTGAACATTCATTGAGGAAGTGTTCCACCGACGCTAAACTGGAGCAAAATGGACAGGAAGCAGGAGAACCTCCGGTTAGTAAATGCTGGTGCGTGATGTTTGTGTGGCCAATCCTCAAGCGATTAAAGACTGTAGATTGGTGACGGGTGATACTACTAGGGTATACTACTTTGATACGATCGGGGTTGATGCTTGTGTAATTGTGCTTGAAACTACGCCACTCTGTGGCCCTTATTGAATTTATATGGTGCTGTATGTGTTTCTTTAGGTCCTTCTTATCTAAAGACACAAATTGAAAAGTTGGTGCTGCTTCGAAATAGTGCGCAGTAAGGTCAGTAAACTCATTTCCAGTTATTCCGGAATGACCAGGCACCCAGAGTAATTTAATTTTATTACTATATTTAATGCACAGATCGCGAATTTTAGAAACTACAGCGGAGACATTATATACATTGCTGACAGATTTCAAGCAGGAAAAGCTGTCAGAGCAAACGACAAACTTTCCTTTGTTTTGCACAGCATATTCTATTGCTTTGTAAACCGCAAGTGCTTCCGCACTAAACACAGACGAGTAAGCTGGTAAGATTCCACCGGTAATAGTTTTTCCATCTTCTGAGACGACCGCAAACGAAGTGCTATTACGTTTTGAGCCATCTGTATATATAGGTGTGTAGTTGAGGGATTTGTATATAAAACATATTATTTTGTTTATTTCATATTATGAGAGGCTGTTTATTTTTAAAACAATAAAACAAATTATTATATAAATTGCATTTAATAATTGAATGTTCATCATACGCCCTGTCAGACCAGTTAGAAATGTTCTACAATTGCAAATTTTCAGGACATACAAAGATTATGCATTGTAATACACCCTTACAAACCCACACAGACAAAATGATACAGATAAAACGCAAGTTTTTAAAAGAAATTGTAAAATAAAATTTTTTGATATAATTGTACTTTATACAAAATAAAAAATACAGTATTTTTTATTAACGACTTTAAAACGAAACATTCGCAAGTATCTTTATTTATGTATACTGTAACTATCAATATCTTATAAAGAGAAGTCTAAATTTTTTTTATCTAAAACTAATAAACTTAGAAGGACGAAATTCGAGGATGTGGTAGTTTACATATAAGTCCTTGACATATATTTTTTTTTCAAAAATAAATATTGGAAATTTCTAAGGATATTCAAGGATAAAGTTTTAAAAGGATATTTTTAACACTTATTCGTCCTGGTGCACCCAAAAATTAAATTTTTTTAAATTCTAAAGAATTTTTCCTTTTAACTGATACCCATATTGCTACTCTACAATGCATCAAATATTTTGAGTAATTTTTTTATCCAATCTTATCCAGGAAATTTCAAAGTCCTTTAAAAAAAATTCTGACGTGAGAGAGAAAAATTAAAAACGCAGTTGTACTATGTATGTGACTCCTAGTTTTGTGAATATATTTATTTTTTCGTGGATTTTAACAAAAAATGTTTTTAAAAACGATTTGAAAATGTGCGTATCAAAAAACAAATTTTGGAAATTGAATTGAAAATTTTCGTTGTCAAAATTTAAATAAATATTGTAGGTGCAAAACCTGGGTCAATATGTTTTTAAAAGTAAAACGTTCCATACAAATTTGAAAACGAAAATTTTTCTGTGCACTGTACTTTTTCTATTAATTAATTTTTTCGATGTCCTTGGGAAAAATCCTGCCATCCTATTAATCATTTAAAGATGCAGATTTACTAGAAATGCATTCAAATATGGGAAACGTGTAGAACTTTTTGTATTCCCAAAGTTTTCGCGGACGATTTGGTAGACTTAATTCAAGTTAATAACTTATCCTACGACTATAAAAATTCTTATACATAGAATATGTTACATATTATGTTACTTAGTCTAAAAAGCAAAAATACAGAGGGTATTTTGTAAATTTGTAATGCACTCATTTTACTGAACTTCGGTGTAAAAAATCAATACCTCAAATTATAATTATTGTAGACTGCACCTCGTAATACTATACTTAAATATTGCGCAATATTCAGAGCTACCACTGTGATTTTTTAAATTTTTTTTTGAGATGTCATATTTTCAAAAACCAATGTTGTTTTTTTTTTAATTTTTATGTGAAACATTTTTCAAGAAAAACATTTAATTTTCTTTTCATAGAGAATTTTGATGTGTGTATGGGTGATTTTTTTCAAATTTTTTCCTCGCCCCGTTCTCGAGATATTTGGCAAACTATCAAATCCATTTGTTTTTGTTTTTGTGCTGTCAAGTTTTTAAAAATGTGTTAATCAAGCCCAAATTTCATATATATTTATTTATGGCCTTATTACGTTTTCATACATTTTTCAGTTTATAAACCTATTTTAAAGCTACTTTATTTTTTATGAATGAGGCCATTAATCATTATGTTTATCTATCAACCCTAAAAATTTGAAACAAATCAAACAAATGAAGTATGAACCCCGTCCAGTTTTGTATGTAAATGGGGTATCTAATATTATTATATTAGATCTATATGTATTTACATACCTTTTTCACTTATAAAATGTTTTTTTTCGCTTCATCAAATAAGTAAAAATAGTTACTAGAAATAAAAATTTGTAGCGAGACTCGCATCGCACCGGCAAAATCATAGCTAGGCTTGTCAATCATATGTATGGAGAACGTAGATGCACGCAATCATTCATACACTTAAGCTTATTAATATTCAAGTATATGGAGAATCTTTCGTCTCACCAAGTTTTAAATCACCAATTGTGCTAAACAATTTTTCATTAAAAAAAACTTTCAATAATATAACTATTTGTGGTGGATAACATAGGTTTGATGTCTTCAATACTTGGACTAGCCTTGATATTGAGGGGGTTGGCCTGAAATAATTTTTTTTTTGCAAATATCTTTCTCAAATTATTTCGCAGCAACTTTTAATTTTGTTTTCCACTTTATTGTTATCATTTAGCGTTAAGGGGCTAATATTATTGACAGCATTTTACACATTAAAGTGCATTTATCACAGCACAACGCGGCAGGACACTAATAAGATGTCGCTAGGGTGCTATTGTTGATACCATCTACAATCGTATTCTGTTATGAAAGCCGTGATTTTTATTCCTTATAGTCTGCTTCCTTACTTGCTTTCGCCATATTCACAACTTCTCGCTCGCCCTTATGTATCTCTGCAGGAATTTAGCCCTCCGTCACTTGACGTAGACGCTGTAGTGAATTTCGTATTTATGCCAATAAATTTTTGTGTGCGTGTCTGTTGCGTTGACATTTATGGGCGGTCGCAGCACAATGACCCATTGGCAGATGGCGTGTGACAGCGGCGTCGAAATGTGGCCAAACAAAGAATTCGCGTTTCGTTGTTGTCTCTCCCCATTGCTCCTGTCGCTACATTAATGACAATAATGTAATATTCTTGGTATATTGTTTTGGGCTTGTCGTTGTGCTTTTCAACGTTCACAATTGAAATACATTCTTACATACTTACTTTGTAAATGATGAACGAAAACAGTTAAGGCAAGTAGGTACATTTTTATCAGCGGAGGAATCCATTGTGGCCAATTAGTATTTCTTAAGTTTGATATGGCGCCTTGAACTTTAAAAGCTTTAGTGGATTTATGAAATTTTTTGGCATATGGGCCGAGCGTGTAGTTCAAGTCTGATTTTGCTTTGTTTTAAGTACTTACCCTCTTTTTCTTACTAACTCTCTCCACACTCCACTCGTGCCCATTTGGTTAGGGCCACTGTGAACCCCGACCCTGTTTGGGGAACAGATAAAAGAAAGTGGGATCGCCCTCTTTTTGACTTGACCTTCGCTTTGTTTCAGACTGGCTTTCAGAAATGGCTTTCAGAATGATGCCCTACTGCCATCGTCTTGTTGAAAATCTGACAGTTCTCGAAGCACTTTCCAATCTAATTGCCGATAAGTTTGCGGAGTGGCTAACATTTTAGAGGAGTCGTGTTTCTGAACTTCATTTAGCTTTGAGCGCCTTGTCTCTGAAGCGCAGGCATCAACTCTCGCATGGCCTCGAAAATTTTCTTTATTCTGACTAAACTATGTGATCCTATGGGGCTACACTATAAATCGGTGTAGAACGGCGCAGCAGTAAGCGACGTATCCACTTGAGGAGCGCAATTCTGGCGTGGCTCTGAACCAGACCTAAAGTTTTCCGTAATGGGGCCTAGCACCACCAAAGCTACAGGAATGGCGCTGGAACGATTGATCAATCTGTTGCCAATGGTGCAATGTGCACATCAAACGCTAATACTACTGCGAAGCTAGCAGATGCGGTTTCACGGCCTGGCTCTAGTAAGAAATTGCGACAAGCGGTCATTAAAATTTATATCGGAGGTATCGCTGAGATGGAAACTTCGGGAAATTCATCCCAGGCCATTAACGATGGAGAGGACGAAAGTCCTACTACCAAATATCAAAATCACTCCAAGGCTCCTAGTGGAGCAGCACAGACTACACCTAGGCAACTCTGGCCACCGTCTTGGGTAGCAAGGCTTAGCTCTGCTGAAGTTTCTAGGATCCTCACTTGCGTATTGACTGTGGCAATTACGATGGATGAAGGCAAATGTGGTGGTATAAAACCTCGAGTCTTCTCTCAGTTCTGTTGGGTTATATTAAAGCGGTAGAATCCGACGATACGAGGTTGGTGTTTAAAATGAGGGGTTGTCTACCCACGGCAAGGCTTGAGGAGTCAGACCAAGGGCAAGGCGGTTAGTTTCCAGTCATCCCTTCTGCAACGAAAACATATGGCTCTTCAAAGCAAGTCGTGCCGTAACTGAATATGAAGTCCAATGAGCATTTAGCACTGAGTTTTCTATAGCCTGGACGTGGCGATCCTACACAGAGAAAATGATACAGGTAAAACGCAAGTTTTTAAAAGAAATTGTAAAATAAAAGTTTTTGAAATAATTTTACTTCATACAAAATAAAAAATACAGTATTTGTATTTACGACTTTAAAACGAAACATTCGCAAAACAAAAACGATCGTTATAATATATTTACTTTTTTACTGAGGAGAACAGACGAAATTAAAGAAATAACGGAAAAAATGCGTGTTTTCAAAACTAAAATGAAACATTTGAGGATTTTCTCCCAACGAATTGTAGTGCGACACAATTTTCAACAAGTAAAATAAAACTATACACTTTTAAAATAAAAAATTTAATTTATTTTCAGTCAATTAAGTATGAAAAATATTTAAAAGTAAAATGTTTTGCATAAGAATTTAAAAAGCTACCTAGCTATAATGAAAAACATTTCATATGTTTGCATCATTTGTCGAAAAAATTGTATTGATATAAATAAGTTAATTCAATCTTCAAAAAAGGTGATGAAGTATATACAAACAATACCGCCATTCTAACCGCCTAACTACATGGAAGGGACATTGGTGATATGGTGGACTTCTTCGACCGAAAAAAGTTTTGGTAAGAATAATTTACAAAAATAAATTCTTATGCGTTATTAAATTATAATTTAAAACTTTCTTGCTTTAAATTACCGGGTTTGACCAGCGTGAAGAAAAACTAGCAGGCCCAGCGTTGAAGTAAGGCGGGAACATCTGTATGTATGTATGTATATAGTATTTGTAAAACATCTGTATTTTGTTTATTAAATTTTGTAACTTATTTATAAGTATATATGTATATCAATATATTTTTGACAATGTATGTATATACCAAATGACTTGTTGTGAATTAATAAAAATAAAATTTGAATATCATATTTAAAAATGCATATTTTTAAAATGAAGAAAAAACATTTTAGGATTTAATTTCAACATGCGCATATTCAATTATCAAACGATCGTTTTTAAAAACGATTTGAAAATTTGAGTACCAAAAACAAAAACATGGATTTTGGAAATTGAATTGAAAATTTTCGTTCTCAAAATTTAAATAAATATTGTAGGTGCAAAACCTGGGTCAAAACGTTTTTAAAAGTAAAACGTTCCACACAAATTTGAAAACGAAAATTTCTCTGTGTAAAAGTGTATTTAGGCAACGCTGACGCCCGCACTGTCCCCGTCATAAAGGTGGAGGAGGAGGCAGGTACCCAAAACGAGGTACTGTAGAACAATTTCCACGGGTCTTAGGAAGCCTTGGCTGCTCTATGGGAACGTCCTTAAAGAGGAGACGTGGAGGTGGCGCTTATCCAGGAATTTTTGGTGAACAACTTAAGGCTATGTGATGATGACATCATGGCTACACATGGCGATAGGAGGCAATCTGTTCGCGTTGGCCTTAGTTTATATTCCAAATGAGGCTAAGGGCCCTCCTCATACGCCGCTGCGTAACATGGTGGACAGCTCCAGGGGTGGACTTGCCCCAATCGGTGGTGATACTAATACACACCATGTCCAGAGGTGAGTAAGGATATTAACAGTCAAGGTGAGTAACTTTTCAATTACCTTTTAATAACTAATTTAGTAGTAATTGGCAATAGAGGCATGCAACTTACTTTTATTGCTACGTAAGGAGGTAGCCATATGACCATTATTAAATTGTTTTTGTCGAAGTAAGATGAATCCTGGACCATAGCGGGTCGGGAACAGGGGACACAGACAGCGACAATCACCATCGACCTTCCTTCCTGTGAAATGAGGAATAAGCCTGTTACGAAAGAGAAGATTATGAGAACTGTACGAAACTTTCAACCTATTAAAGCTGCTGGTCCGCATCTAATCAGAACATCACAACTTCATACTTAGAAGTGGCATGCCGCGGAACTAGAAACTTTTGTAGACTGGATGTTGATCACTTTCAGAGACCATTTTAAATTTAACTACACATATACAGCCAGCAAAGCTTCACGCGATCTTAAGATAATAGTTTTATAGGATCTCCTTTTTTCTCACTATTTAGAGTCGATTGCTGTCAAAAGGACTACCAAAACGAATATATATATATATCGAATAATCCTTAAGCTTCAAGGACTATTGCCTTGCAGCTTTTATGGACTTTCAATAAAATATGCCCCAACAAATACCTTGATGAAACATGGGGACAACTCTTTGGTCGAGTTTGTAAAGCAAATGTTCATCGGCAGCGTAGTGATGGCGAGCATAAGTGAGAACCAAGTTTCGAGGGATGTCACAAGACAATACCCAAGGTGCCATGGAAGAGAGCCATAGGTGAAAAATCGCGCCTGAAGCTAAGAATTTGCCGTTGGTTTTACATCGCGATTGTTGGAGCAGTTTTCTTATGTCGAGTTATGGAATGTTCTAAAGAGGGTGAGTAATCTTTAAATACTTAGCTACTAAAATACATAAAACATCTTAGTTTATTACGGTCTATATATCATCAAGCAAGATCTAGATTAAAAACAAGCTCTTTACAAGGGCTGCCCATTGCAGGCAATGGCAAACCTCCGAGTGTATTTATGCCCTGCAAAGATTCTCATAAAACCATTTGTCGTTGGAAGGCCAGGGGTTTAGTTCGGTTTAACGTACATGTAACAAAAAAAAAACACAAATTATATGACCGAAAATAATAAATTTTACTTAAAAAAGATGCTTTTGGTCTCGAGTTTCCAGAACAGGGTCAGCGTTGTGAATTTCAACTGAGCTGGCTATTTAAGAATTTAGAATTTTACAAACTTTCACATTTATAATAATAGCGGGATTTACTATAACTTGTCAACTAAATTCCTAAGCTGGTGGCAACCCTCTTCAAAAATATTTGCCAAATAGATACTGCTTTCGTAAAACCTCTCTCATTTGATATCCACATTAAAATATTTCGCTTAACTTGTTAATTAAATTGAATTTAACTTTTTGAATAGGTGGCAACACTGTTAAAAAATATTTTAAAAATAAATAGTTTTTAGCCATCTTCGTTTCGACGCCTCCACGGTTGTGGTTGTCTTTAGTGAACTTATTAATTATTCGAGTAAGCTTTTTAACAGGTGGCAACCCCTTTAAAAATACTTATGAAGTAAATTGTAATATTTTATCCATTTGGCTTATTAATTAATTGATTTTAAGTTTTGAAGAACGTGGCAACCCTCATCAAAGAATATTTAGTGTTACAGAGCAACAAACATACTCGCACACTCACTCATTCACACACTTTCACATTTATATATTTAGTATTATTTAGTAGAATTATGCACAGTTCCAAGTTGTAATCACTTTACGTCACTCTCATTTTTTTTTGTTTGCAAAGTAACGCTAGCAACGGTTTGCCAATTAAGTACAATGGCTTTCGTCGTTTTAATGCTGAAAATTGATGTAAACACGTTCAAGCAGAAAATGTTTAACTCGACGCCCCAATTTGCTACTAATAACGGTGGTTAATCATTTGAAATTTAGTATTGTCCTTTCATAAGTGTTTTTTTTATTAATTCCGCAACACTTTATACTAACTTATTCATTTAAATTCCATCAATGAAGTTATTTAAAATGTACACAATGTGGGCGGTCACATAGCTGTTTACGCATTTCGCTTGCAACAATGCAGGCATGCAATAATGCATACGTACATACATATGTATTTACAAATAGTTTGTCCACTCAAGCGTATTCACGTACATATAATTGTACATACATTGCCAACTCACGCGTTTAGTCGGAAATGAAATTTAGCTTGAAATTGTTGAATTTCTGCAGCCGCGCACCAGCGCGAATTAATAATCGCAAAGCATTAAACGAAAATGCAATAGAGAAATTTGCATACTCTTCAATGTTAGAAGAAGAAAAAAATAAAAATAAAAATAAATTACACAACAAATTACTAAATTGCTATGAAAATTGCTGCAAATATAACTAAAAATTGGTTGCAACGTCAGGAGTTGCGCTTGCAACATATTAAATTGTGGCAGCGAAGCCGTAAAGTGGGCAGCGAGTGAGTAGTGCTTTTCGGTTGGTTATTGGGTTTTTTTGTATACGCACTTCATCTACATAATTTTATTTTGCCAGTGAATTTTCGTACACACATACATAAATATACATACATATTTTTCGTTTGATTTATCGAAATTTAATTTGAGTTTCGCATTTAAATTCAATTCCTATTAAATTTTGCTTTTTGATTTTTTATTTATATATAGAATAGTTGAGTTGAAGCAGCCAAGTGGTACGCCGAATATGTTAAAACAACGCAAACGACACCTACGCATGTTGCAAGGTAAGTAGAATACTACAAAAAGGCATTGGTATGTCAGAATAAGAGACACTGCAACCTGAAAGGTCTTTTGTATATCTAACCTTGGCTTTCTTGGAGTCCTTAAAGGATCTTAGTAGTTGAATTCCTAATAATTAATGGTTTAGCGATTGGAGCTTTAAAATAAATTAATCGTTGTCTAGCCCAGGCTGAAATATACTTGGAAACTTCCTCGTCTTCAAAGCAGAGTCAGCATTCTGACAATCCGATAATACCTACTCAGTGCATATGAAATCGTAGTTTGTTGTGGCTAGTTTGGCACTCAGATAGTAGGCTGATATCATTTATGTGTAATTGAATGTTATCCAATATCTTAAAAGTGTAGCCGAAGAGCCTGGCCCGAATTTGGCCCCCCCACCACCACCCTGAACTTATTGCGGTCAAAGTGTACCCATTCAGTAATTATCGTTCTCGAAGAGGACCAAAATGGTTGCGGTCATAGAAAGCCAGTTAACAATCCTACTCGCACCAACTCGTCAGTGACTTCTTTGCCTTTGATTCCCCAGGGGCCTGGCATCCACCAAAATGTAAGTGTATTTTAGGCAGCCGAAATTCGACGCGTGTTAAAGCAGTTTTGGATTACATCAGTCTGTCTGAGAGAGCCTGCGTGGCTGCTTGGCTATCTGAAAAGATAACTGGAAAGCCCCCCTTAAAACATTTTTCAGGGTTTAATTTGGCACAGATTAGGATTGATAAAACTTTAGCCTGTAACACCAGGGGCCATCTACCCCTTTAACTTTATCTAAACGTTATGGGAGTTTGCATGTTTGGTGAAGGGATTTCACTTGCAACTTTCTGCCTAAGTAGATCTTTTATTATGGAGTGGGAAAATTCGCATATTTGAAATCTTGTATCTTCCCAAGAATACCTGTGTGCAGCTGCTTTATATAGAAGCAGCCTTTGGATAGTGGAAATTTAGTATTGTCCTTTCATAAGTGTTTTTTTTTATTAATTCCGCAACACTTTATACTAACTTATTCATTTAAATTCCATCAATGAAGTTATTTAAAATGTACACAATGTGTGCGTTCACATACCTGTTTACGCATTTCTATACGATTGCCTGGAAACAAAAACAAAATTTAAAATACCAAGTCCCAAAATGTTCGGTTTGGTCTTGAAAAACAAATAACATTTCTATTCTCATAGTTCTATGAGCATTCCCTTCAGAGTTGAGTTTTCAAAGACCCAAAACTCGTTACTACAGGTACTCCGAATGGCTGCATATGCTCGATAAATTTTCATTCGAATAAAACACTTGGAGATCAGTGCGCAGAAAAAAGTTCAAATACAAGACTTAATCCTTGCAACGGTAGGGACAGAAGGGCAAAAAGTAAATTTGCCACAATTTTGACCTTGGCCAGCTATAGCTCAGCAAGTTTATGAATTAATATGAAAAAGTTTCAATAAGTTTTTTTTTTATAAAAGTGTAGCATATTCTACAACAAAAAACGTGTAAATCTGATTTTAAAATTTTATAAAAAAAATCACAATTTCAAAAGCGCGCCCCTTTGCGCTATCCTTATGACCAGCATTAAATATGTTATTAATATTTTTATATTCTATATTAAATGTTATTAAATTATTATTTCATTATTTTATTTTATTTCAGCGTAGGTTTCAAGTGCCTGTAAAATAGCTTTGATTTTTGACAATTTTTTGTTTTTTTTTTTGTTGACGATGCTGCTGCATTTCTTCCACACAAAGTATGCTCGACAAAATTTTTATATGGAAGAAATGTACAGTCAACAAAAGAAAAAGATGCCAAAAATCAACGGTATTTTGTAGTAGCCACTTGAAACTTTCACTTTATTATAATAAAATTGCACGGGCTATAAAACTGCGTACCCGAAATTCTAATTCAAAAAAATATTATTATCTTTTTTTATAAGTTACAACTTTTGCATTTCAGGTGACGATATGTATGTACATATGTAGGTGAAAATTGTATATATGTACACAAAATATGTATTTAACTGTCTTATTTTGATCAATATTTGCATACCTTTGCAGCACGGAATATTTTTCGTCGCGGCACAAAAAAAGATTACGAACACTCAGGAAGTTTTTTGGAGGCCATTGGACCCGGTAAGTTTAAGTGAAAAATAACAATTTAACCTGTTAACTGCAATTATTAAATTGAGGCCATTTGAGAAGTTCTAATGAAAATGTGTAATTTAAAAGTGTGGCCAACAAAAAAAAAGGCGTAAGTGCCAGGTAGTCATAAAATTTAATATGCAAACATCTGTGTCCCGACCTAGTCCCGAAATGGTCCACAAAAAGTTTTGAACTTGTTGCGAACTGGTCCCGAAATGACCCCGAAAAGTTCCGAACTTGGCCCGAACTAGTGCCGGAATAGTTCTGAACTAGACCCGAAAAAGTTCTGAGCTAGTTCCCAACTACTACTGAAATGTACCCGAAAATGTTCCGAATTAACCTCGAAACGAGCACGTAGAAAAGTCTACTCTCTACATGCCAACGGCGGCCCTCGTCGAAGTCACTGGACCGCTCTGGATCACTTCCACACTGGCGCTTAACGCTATACCCATTGTTGCACCTATTGACATTGCGGGTCCAATAAATATCTTCATGAGTGGATCGAAGCTGGATATCAGAGTTGAAGAAGGTGTTTTATATCAGGAACTCTCAACAAATCTCATGTTTAGGTTGCTGGATTTCTGCAGCGTTTTTAGACAAAGGTGCGCACCATAAAGCTGACTCCGTTTCGTCGATTAGAAGTGTAAACATCTACTCTGATAAAACAGCGGAATGCCGGGCCTCTCCCTCAAGCGCCTCGGAATACTTCCAAATCAAGCTGATCTGGCTCCCAGGGTACAGGAACATCAATGAAAATTATAGATTTGATGAATTGGCTAGGCAAGGTACCCTCGAGGCCTTCACCTCGGATAAGGAGTACATAGAAATTCTGTTGGAAACCTGCGGCCTGCTCTTAGACAGATGGGCGTACAGTCGGTCCAGCGTGTGCTGGGATAAAACCCTGATATGCTAAGTTGCAAGGTCCTCCTGGCCGGTTGTTAACCGCAGGCGATGAAGGGAGTTTCTGCAGCTGGCTACGCGACAGCTCTCGATTCTAACCGGTGTTCTTTGCAGATATTGACCTTTAGAAACTCACACGTTTCCCTCGGCGTTCGTCAGATAAAGTTTTAAACACCTGGGCGCGCATATCATAAACACTCCCGAGGGATTCTCCGGAGTGGATATAAGCTGACTGCGGAACTTTGTTTTAGGCCAGTAGTTGCCGTTCAAAGAAAAATCTATGCAGTATGGTAATTAAATGGCTATGGGAGCTCACATCTCGGTCCGGCCACCACAATCTAACCTAAACTAAACCTAGAATACGGAACGTGCACTTAGAAATGAAAAAAAAAATTATTCTTGAAGCGGGACGGGCACAAAACCTAAAAATACATTTAAAACAAACAAGAAAATCAATTTCCATTTAAAGAATGCACGTGCTTGTTCCCATTAAAATTTTTTGTTTGTACTCGTATTTTTCATACTTTCTCGAATACATATTTCTTCTTTGAGAATTCAAATCATACCTAATTATGTTCATACATATATGTATTTGTATGTGTGCACACCTTTTTTTTACTACTCACACAGTTTTGCTATTGGCACAGCTATTTGCCTTGATGCCCGTTTGTGGTGTGCTCTCAAAGTCTGCATCAGAAATGTATTTTTCTTGGAAATGTGTGCGCACCTGGTACGCTTTGCTGGTAATCGCCTGCCTGGGACCCGCCAGTTTGGTCACGATTTCCGTTGCATTCCGTGAATCGTTTAGTTTCGACACAGTTGGTAAGTTGAAAGGGGATGAATCCAACTATTAATTTAAAATTCTTAAACTATAATATTTTCTTTCCCACTTATAGAGGCGGTCGTTTTCTATGTATCGATATTTGTTATTTCTATAGCATTTTTTCAATTGGCACGCAAATGGCCAGCGCTGATGCTGCAATGGGAGCGTACCGAGTCCCAGTTGCCGCCCTTAAAAACGGAAATGCAGAAAGCAGCTTTGGCGTATCGTATAAAAATGATCACGCTGGTGGCCACTATGTGCTCTGTGGGTGAGTATGTACGTGCATACATACATACATAATGATACAAATCCTATGCGCCCTTGGCGTTGCTCATTGCTACAAAGTTCCACTATGGGCCAGCAAACGATAAAAAGTGGTCAATATTCGAAATCTTATCGGAATGGCTTAAAACTTGCTACAGGGGGTTTTTGTGGACACTGATTACAAATCTGAAGTTAGATTTTAAGAATTCCAAATGGCGGATCCAATATGGCGGACAATATTGTGTAAAGTAATCGGATTGGCTTGAAACTAGCTACTCCATGATTACGAATTTGAAGTTAGATTTAAAAAACTCGAAACGGCTTAGTCAGCCTACATAAAATGAAGTTGCCGAAGCCCACCAGCAGGAGGCTACACTACAAATGTAGATTTAATTTTTTAATTTTTATTTGCTTTTGTTTTTAAATCTATAGTTTTTCTACCAATTACGAATGTAGACTTCACGGTAAATTTTTATTTTGTTTTTTATATATTTTAATTTTTTTAGCAATTACCAATTCAGGCCTCTTTATTTCTTTTTGTATTTTCCATTTCTTTGTTTTTTATATTTTTTTCTTTTGTTACCAATTAAGAATTTACACTTAGTTTTGTATTTTTAAGCAAATGCTATTTTGAATTATGGTTTTCTACTTTTTTATATGACTACATCTTATTAACAAGTAATAAAAGAAAAAAGGAAAATATTTATTATTTTCTGCAAAAAAATTTAATTTTACTCTACACCGGACATGTAAATTTAAAATACAACTATTTCAATCAAAATAAAATTGCGACCACAATATTGAGGCAATTGCTATAATATTTCGCTAACAATTACCTTAAATACTTTATATTTTGGCTATTAGCATAAAAATTTAAAATTCTAAATTTGACCTTTGGCCATTTTTGAGTGCCTACTGGCCCTCTGTGCATTGAGTTGGTTGGTCCTTTACCACTTTTCTGCTAACTACGTTTCCCTTCTGTTTGACTTTTGTTACGCAGTGGAGCATTTGCTGAGCATGTTGGGTATTATCTATTATGTAAACGCGTGTCCAGCCATGCCGGGACATCCCATTCAGAGTTTCCTCTACTCAAATTGGTCGCAGTTTTTTGTTTACTTCGACTACACCAACCTGGCGGGCATCTTTGGCAAAGTCTTGAATGTGATATCGACATTCGCATGGAATTTCAATGATATCTTCGTGATGGCGGTGAGCGTGGCGCTGTCGGCACGTTTTCGCCAACTCAACGAACATATGTTGCGTGCAGTCAAGCGGGTAAGGCGTCAAGTTGCTTGCTAAATAATTTCTATTGGCAAAATATTTTCATTATGCTGTTGAAAATTCGATTTAATTTTTCACTTTCATCTTTTGATTTGAGTGTAAGTTACCCATATTTTTCACTGTTTTTTTATTTTCACCTTTCACTTGTTTCTTAAGTGGCGCATATTTAAAAATATTTATGTCTAACTAGCACTTGTCTTGTCTTTCTTGTTTTCATGGCAGCCAACCACGCAGAAATTTTGGATGGAAAATCGCATAAATTATCGCAATTTATGTAAACTATGCGAAGCTACAGATGACACCATTTCCGTTATTACGCTATTATGTTTCTCGAACAACCTATTTTTTATATGCGGAAAAATTCTTAAGAGCCTACAGTGAGTATTAAGTAGTAAGCTAATATTGTAATTCCTTATTCTGAGTACGGGTATTGAAGCACTAAAATCATTTGTCGATTTGAGCCGTGACAAAGAAATTAAGCCAATTGTCTCCCTCCTTTCGAAAGCAGTCAGGTAGTACTTCCGAATATCTTATTCGAATGCCTACAGAGGCATTAAGGGGCTTATCCACCCAACTCTTGTATCGGATCTACGTGTGCTTCATAACGCTTATAAAATGCTCTTTATAAAGATGTACAGATACCCGCAGCTGCACTAAAAAGACATTTTCGTTCGTTTTAGGAAAAAGCCATCCTATTCACACGTTATGTACTTCTGGTTCTCGCTGGGCTTCCTCTTGATGCGCACACTAATGCTATCGTTGTACAGCGCCGAAATTAATGATGAATCGCGACGGCCGCTTGTGGTTTTTCGTGGTATTTCGAGTGAATATTGGTGTCCTGAGGTGAGTTGGAGTTAACTTAAAAAATTTTTTAATGATTGGCTTGTTATTACGTTAAGATTTAAACACTTTCAAGTCGAGCTAAAAAGAGGCGTTTTAAAAACTGTAAGTTAAAAAGATTAAGCAAGGTCATTCAACTAAAGCTATTTATAGGGTTTTTGATTATTTGCATTTTTCGGAAAACGGTAGTTTGAAAAAAAAACGATTTGAAAAAAAAAACCGGCTCCTCATTTTTAAATTAACCGGTTTTATTTGACATATTTTCTCTGTTTACGGTACAGCCACTGGAAGAAACGATGTATTGTGGAACGCTTTTCCGTCGTCCCTTGTCAAATTTCGTTTGGAGATAAACCAGTTTCGACGATGTGTCATCTTTATCGAAAACGATAAATTACACTGAAGATGGTAAAACGCCGAAACTGGTTTGTCTCCAAACCAATATAGTATTATAAAATATACTTCATTTTATAACCAACACCATACAAATCCACATTTCAAACTTTGTGCTAAAATTATAAAAATTCAGCGAATTTTTATAAAAATTTTAACTTTTTTTAGATAATTTTTTAAAAAGTTTTGCGTATGCAGTTTCATAGCCTAAGCAATTTTAGTATAATAAAGTGCGAGTTTCATATGGCTACTAAATACCGTTGATTTTTGTAAATTTTTTTGTTGATGCTATTATTCATTTTCTTCCAAAAAGAGTATGTTCGCAAACTGCATACGCAAATCTTTTCTAAAAATTCTTAAAAAAAAGTAAAATTTTGGGTGAAAATTCTCTGAATTTTTATAATTTTGGCACAAAGTTTGAAATGCGGATTGGTATGGTGTTTGTTATTGAATGAACTATATGTTTATAAGAAAATATTAAAATTTAAATAATACGAAAATAAATAGTCAAAACTTGTTAATATGTGGCGGTCCCAAAATTATGCAACGAAGTGTAGTCCATTCCCTCACCAATACCATATAAACCCAAATATAAAACTTTATAGAACACTGAAACAAATTTTATAAAACTTTCATCCAAATTTAAAACTTTTTTCTCAGAAGTGCTTAAATTTTTTTGAGCATAAAGTTTTATAGTCCTTTTAATTTTAGTAATAATGTGCAATTTTAATTTTCCAGGAACTACCGCTGATTTTTTAGATTTTTTTTGCGCACATTTACCTCCAAATAACGGATGAACACAATTTATTTTTAAATGGAATAAAACCACAAACACCGACGGTAAAATAAAATCATAAGAAATTAATGGTAATTTTAATCTAAGATTTAATGAAGTATAAAACTGTATACTATGGGTCAAATGAAACAAATTTTGAGGGTATGCGTATCGAATTTTGCAAAAAAAAATTTCTGAAACCCCCTAATGAAGATACATACGAGTATGTATTTACATACATATGCATCGTTAACTTAGAGCAATATCATACAAGTAGCTATGGTAAAAAATTGTTCTAGCCATCATAGCCAATAAGCATTTATTAATGCGTACACAAGCGCGTCAAATTTGTTGTTCTAATGCAACGGCTGCCGTTTGCATCAACTACATAACATAAGAATAAAAAGAAACCAATTAAAAATAAAACAAACAGAAAAATTATATGATTAACGTTTTAAAAATAAATACGCCAAAAATCATTTTTTTTTTGCCTTAAAAGCACACGTAATAGGTCAACATTTTTATAACTTACACTTCTTAATCAACGATAGCAATAAGTACTAAAAATTCCTTGTCCACTCAACATTTGTTGAAGCAACACTTCAAATGGCGGTGATAAAATTTACTCCTTAGTACTCGTACATAAATAGATACGTATAAGTTAACTTTACGTCTTCTTGTTGTCACCTTGCACTTTTCCGCATTACGCCTTTTCCACTCTATTTACTTTGTATATTTTATCTGGCCATAAATGTTGATTGGCTTAATACACTTGTGATTTGATGGCGCCCAACAGTTCCACTTTGACTTAGCTCAACCTCCAATTTCCTTTTTCTTTCTTTATTTCCTCACCTAGTTGAGTGCATTTCTTCTGGCATTCATTGCAATGGTTATCTCACTGGCCGCCTAAAGTAGAATAGCATTTCTTTCGTAGAAATTACGCAGCAATCGATTTTACTAAAGAGATTTATTCTTGAAGCAGTTATTGTGTTTGGGAGGTGTTTGTATAAAATAAAAAATTTAGGCGAAGAGAATCAAAAAATAGTTTTATTCGGCGCTTTTCTATGGCGTTACTGTTTACCTCAACTGCTGCTAAAATGTTGACAACTGTTGAGTCCAACAGTTACGTCCAGTATATCAGAAATGTTGCCTAAAAAGTATCCAAAAGTATCAACTGTTTTGTTTTAAGTATCCACGTATCAATGTGAAAACAAAAACCTACAAGTTGCAGTAAAAAAGCATATTTTGCAATGAATTTGTGATATATTTAATATTTTTTTTTTTGCATTTTTAAGCATTTCAGTTTATGTGCCCTTCATTTTCATCTGTAATTATACCTTTCATGAGCATGAAATGGTATTATAACTTTGGTCCGACGTTTGTAAGTACCAGAACAAAAAGAGATAGACCCATTAAAATGTATACTTATATGATCAGAACTTCGAGCTGAGTTGATTTAGCCATGTCCGTCTGTCCGTCTGTCTGTCTGTCCGTCTGTTTGTATGCAATCTAGTCTCTCAGTTTTCGAGATATCAGAATCCAATTTGGTCGGCGGGTGTATTTTTATAATGTGTTAATCATTTGTCAGAACCGGAAGAATCGGACCACTATAACATATAGCTCCCATACAACTGATTGTTCAGATATGAGATTTTTCATTATAACTTCTCCATTTATGCAGCTACGAACATGAAATTTTGCAATACTTGCACCCATTATCAACAGAATACTTACAGTGAAAATTACAAAGATCGGTTCACTATAACCTATAGCTCCCATACAACTGATTGTTCAGATATAAAATTTTGCGTTATAACTCCTCCATTTATATAGCTAGGAACATGAAATTCCGCACTGTTTTCAATAATTATCAACAGAAAACTTACAGTGAAAATTAAAAAGATCGGGTAACTATAACCTATAGCTCCCATACAACTGATTGTTCAGATATGAGATTTCTCGTTATAATTCATCCATTTATGTAGCTAGGAACATGAAATTTCGCACCATTTTCACTCATTATTAACAGAATACTTACAGTGAATATAACAAGGATCGGATGACTACAACATATATCTTCCATACATCTGATTGTTCAGATATGGGATTTTACTGTAAAACTCCTTTATTTGAACAGCTAAAACCGATAAATTTCGTAAGATATTTTATAAATAATAATACAAAGTCTACTGAGAAAATCGTCAAAATCTATGCTGTATAAGCTGATTGTTAAGATACCAGTTTTTGCCATATATCTCCTTTATGTACGAAACTAAACCCAATAAATTGTGTTACCGGTTTACATACCGATCACATAGCGGTGAAAATCACTTAGATTGGTGTCATATAAAGTATATCTTCCATACCTCTGATTGTTTAGATGCGATTTTTGATATAAGTATGTAACTCCTCTATCGATGTATGCAGATGTATTCAAAAGCAGTAATCTGTCAAAGTAAAATTTGCAGATGTTCATGAAAGGTATGAAGCCTTCGGCATAGCCGAAGACAGCGCTGCTCTTACTTGTTTTAATACTAAAATTAAACTTAAAAAAAATAAATTTGAGGCCGCTGAACCAGAATATGAATCCATTAAAAAAAAATAGGACCTTTCGGTCCTGCTGCTGGAAATCTGCGGAAATGTTAGGCGAACCCAACTATGTTATGTATTTCGGAATAAACATTTGTTTTCCTTTAAGTCCATGTCTGAAGTCGCTAAAAATTACCGTTGATTTTTTAGAATTGTTTTTGTGGAGGGTGTTCCGGTTTTTTTTTTTTCATATAAAAACAAAAAATTTTGATCATGTGTTATATGGAAGAAAATGCGCAACTCCCTCCACAAAAAAATTCTAAAAAATCAACGGTAATTTTTAACGACTTCAGACTTGCACTTTCTTAGACTACAATTAAATGGGCCACAGAACTGCATACACGAAACTTTTCTAAATATACTGATTAAAAACTTGGAAATTTTGATGACAATTTTTTGAAATTTTTGCAAGCATTGAAACTTTTATTATTGCGGTTTCTGTTACAGATTGAATTATATTTTATGTGAAGATTATTAAAAATAAAAAAATAAACATAATTTACAAACAATATCATTTTGAATCTCGTTTGTAATTAGTTGAACGCAGGTGTACATATTAGAATTATCTAATTCCCTAAATTACAGTTGAATTTGATCTTTTAAACCAGTGAAAATCCTATCCTGGGTGGTTGGTTAGAGATAAAGCCTTTTCAAACCCATTAATTAATTGAGCGAAATTTTTTAACAGGTGGTAACTCTGTTAAGGTTTTAGCCTAGATATCTACCTTCTTCTCCCCGCCGAGACGAACACGTAAATATGCGTGTTCCTACAATCGGACCACGGCAACATGGAGTATATCGATGTCAAAAGTTAAGAAACTTTATTTTCTTTGTTTTGATGTAATAATTGGACATCATCCCTTTCTATTTATTTGATTTTAAACGTTTACAATTCTATATGTCCCAACACGTCTCCTCTAAACATTTCGAGTTAAAATGTTCATAAAAATAATTTTGGCCGCATAAATCGACCAAATACCCCCATGTGCAGCGTTCTGCCAAAATACCTACCAAAATGCAGTGTTGCGGCCTTTTGAGCTAACGAAGCTCTCTCTAAACCGTGCTCGGTTCACGCAGGCTAGCAAAATCCTTGTGGTTGTGCATTTCATGGTTTTTGGCGGTCGCTCGTTGAAATTAACGAAACAATCTCGAAATATACATGAAGAATAGCGAGCAGGTTACGTAGGTTGTTACCGCGACTGAGAAAATCTATTCTAACAAGCCTTCTTTGACCCACGTATGTGGAGGCGAAGCCTAGTTAAAGTTCGTAGTGGCACATTTAGTGCTTGCGATACAATCTTCACTGGTCAGAATAAAAAACTCCTTGACAAACAAGTGCCTCCAAGTGCAAAACTTGCTTCCTATTGAAGTTAATGGACGCTTCGGTTCACCTTGTTGATATTTCTGATAAAAGAGTTATCCTGTATGTTACCTTCGGTATTTGTCTAAAAGGCTGCTGGGTCTATAAAATTCTGTGCACCGCCTTTTTTTGGCGACCATAAGGTCCGATTACCAAATGTGGTAATCCCGGTTCCTAGATACGATGAGTATTAAAAGCTGAGGGCAGTCCCATACCAGCTTTGCGGGCACTTCGTTTATTTTCACGGCAAGAAGCGCAGCCCTGCAGTCAGAGTATACGTAGATATGTCTTTTGGTCGGTGGCATACACCTTGGCTAACTTGTCTCATACTAATGAAAAGAATCCCTCTGGGTTGTATGCCATAGGTACCTGCTGCGACGTCTTGACCAGTCTTGGAGCCTTCGGCATACAAAATGTCCCAACGGACATGTGATCGTTCGGGACTAAGTAGCAGGATACAGTGGAAGGAGTTACAGACTTCGAAAACAGTTGCACTCCGGACCGCCACAGGATCTTCTCTCGTCAAGGAGCAACAACTTCATGATGTGCAAGCCCTACTAGTAGGAGAACACAGACGTGCGCACCCGAACAGACATTTGCTTGCGGCAAAGCCCTCGCCTAGGTACGTCAGAACGCATCTATATGAACTGACGGACGAGGCGCCAAGGTTAATAAAATGACCCATAGGCCATAAACGCCATTCATAAGGAATCGGCCTCGACTTATACCAACTACCAACTAAGCTCAGATATGCTCAACGAATGTCTGGAAAGCGGAGCATTACCCCATTACTAGACAAACCTCTGCGAATAGCTTTATTTAGGTGAGTTTTTTTTTATGGAGAACTGGAAGGTAACTATTTGACTTCCTATTTGAAGGAATACTTCTAATATGTTAGCCACTTCTCTTTAACGCGATAAAATGAATATGCTAATCTACTTAGAGTTCACGTCTGAACCGACATGTAATTATCTTTCGTACTAATTCCTTGGTCACCTACTTTTCTTTGCCCATACAGTGGCTGGGTACCCAGTGCAATCTTACAATATTTCACGCAGTCATGAGTTGACTGCCGTCTTTGAGAAGCATCGATTTGAAAATCCTGATGCCGGGTATTTAAATATCAGCACATTCTTTGTCCCTCATTCTCGTTACTTGTTTCTTTTTAACCGACTTCAAAAAAAGGAGGAGGTTATCAATTCGTCAGAATAATTTTTTTTTATGTATATTACCGAATAACTTTGTACCACGTCACCCGATTTCCATAATTCTTTTTCTATGGGGAAGGTGGTGCCTCAGGGGTGGTCCCATGCTAATATAGTTTAGATCCGATCATTGGATCATGAAGAAATTAACGGTACTCCAAAATTTGTATATGAGAATTGAAGTCGGTTGTGTTTTCTGCTTAAAAACTACTTCTTGTATTTTCCATTTTGTCTTTTTTCTACTTTTCACACAAATTGCATTGCATACGTACATACATTTATATAATACATACATGCTGACAGCTTAAACGTTTTTCGGAGGAAGTGACCACAGACGTGGTTGCACTATCGGGCATGAAATTTTTTCATTTGACTCGTGGGCTGGTGCTCTCGGTAAGTAACATGTAATATGTATTGAATGAGAATTGCTCAAACACGCTGAATACTCGTAGTATTGCAAGATAACGTCAAGAATTATTGGAAATTTCGAAAATGCTTGCAATAATTCAAATTTTTTCCAGTGTTCATAGCTAGTCTGCATACTTTTTCATATGCTTATATCAAACTGCTTTATTTCGTTTCTTGTGAATATACATATTAGGGCGGGTTGAGTGTATGGATGAAAAAAAAAATTAAAAATCGGATAGCAAAAACGTTATCTACATTAAATTCTAAGAAAATTCTCTGAAGAAACCATGGGTCTAAAATCAAACCCAAATTCGCACCTCTCAACTTTAAAATTTTTTTCCTCTTCTTTCGCTAAAATTAATCTTTAATCTTTCTTTGAAATATATTATGTTTTATTATATTATATTATAGTTTATGCAATACAGGTTTTGTTTTGAGACTAATCAAAATATTCAATTATCAAAAAAGCAGTTGAACCCCAATTTGCATCTCCTCTGATTTGAGTACCTGGGTGAATATTTTTTTGATGAAAAAAAATTTTGAGTGTAGAAAAAATATAAAGCGCAAAAGAACTACCTTACTAAAAAATTTTATTCAGAAAACTCGATTTCTTTTTGGAAAAACCTATTTTTTCTAACATTTATTTTTTTGGCAAAGGCGACCATAAAAATTTTCAAGTCGAGAGGCGCGGATTAGGATTTTATTTTAGATACATGGTTTCTTCGGAGAATTTTCATAGAATTTTATGTAGTTTACGTTTTTGCTATACGATTTAAAAAAAAAATCAACCCGCCCTAATACATATGCATGTCTTCATCATTATATAGGTATTCAATTTATTTGGTTTTGTTGATATCGGTTATTGTATTTTATTGCATGATTCTCATTTCTTCTTCGCAGGTAGCCGGCAGCATTGTCACCTACGAATTGGTTTTGCTACAATTCAATAAAGAAGACAAAGTGAACGATTGTTACGAATTTTGAGCAGCAAGTTCAGCAATTCAATGCGCTGCATACCCACATAAATAAGTATTGTACTACATAATGTGAAAGAGTGCGATGTTTAACCAAGACTTTAAGTAAAACTTTTAAATCGAAGAGTTGCACAATCTTTAAGAGACTTTATTTGAATCGTTAGGCAGCATTCTAAAGCAAATACAAAAAAAAAATACCAGTGTATTTTATTTGGTATACGAAGCCGTATGAGGTTCGGGGTGTCTATGCAACGAAAATAACAAAAAAAAATCACTGGTGTTAACTCTAAAATATTATTTATTCAGTTAAGAGCTCTCAGGAAAGTTCCAAGAATTTAAAGATGGGGATATTGACAAGGTTAATTTCTTACCTTTTGGTTTTTACATTCGTTTTATTGTACATAATATGAGCAATGAACTGGACAGTGACAGTGATTTTGAAGCAATAGAGTTTACGGAGAAAAACCTCTTTCACCCAAGATTGAATGAAATGTTTGATAAGGAACAGGGGCGAACGCTGTTAGGGGTTTTTGTGGCTGCCCTACGGCAGTCGAATTTGCACAAATGGCACAAGTGGCAGCGGCAATTCACCTGACGAGTATCAAGTAGCGAAAAAAGTAAGACGCTCCGACGCTGAGGACTTTAGACTATGTTCAAACGGGCACCTAATTGGCAATTAAGATCCTTTTCACCAACTTAAGCCTTAATTGTTACCCAATTTATCATAAACAAAATTAATATTATTAATTGGCAATTAATTTGTGTCAGATTCTCAATGCAATCCTGCTAGGTATATTTAATTTTAACTTGGAGGTATGTTTATTGAACAGGGAGCAATCAGCTGTTTGTTTCTGGTCCTATTTTAAAGCAGATATTCCATTAGGGATGGAAATTGAATTATAAAAATGTACCTAAAGACTAAATATGTATTTCTATATTATGAAAATAGGAGGATAACAATTCCCATCGATACTATATCAACTTCTGTACTCACATTAAAAAAATTTTGGCTATGAAAAGAATCTCTTCGAGAAGCGCGAGAGAAAACTATGTTGTAGAATAGGTAAAAAAAAACTCCATTTTTAGAGGTACTTTCAAACCGGTCCAGCTCACGTAAATCTTAATATTTTTCAGAAATATTTTGGTAGAAGTATTAAAATATACTAGGTTTGGTAATCCCGCCGGAAAAACCGCAACTTTTTTTTTGTACATTGTACAGTAGTCGAGAAAATTATAGCCGCATCAAATTTTCACAAGTTTAAAAATATTATTTTTGTTGTTATTTAATTTTGATTAGTTTTTTATAGTCGATTCTTTAACAACATCCAATACAAGTTTAAAGGCAGTGTCACACGATTGGATATTTGGCAAAATTTGGTGCAAATCGTATCCCAATTGTGTAAATACCCAAATATTTTTCTTTATCCCAATCACGAAAATTAATTTACGGAAACTTTTCAATAGAACATCGCTGTATTGAACCAATATTTTGACTACAAAAAAAAATTTTCCCATTTTTTTTTTTGTACCAATAACCAATAAATGTACCAATCGAGTGCCACTGACTTAAAAATTTATGCAATTTAAAAAAAAATTCAACACCTACAAAGAAGAAATATGATACTCGAATCGCTTATACCTTACTAATATTTGGAATAGTTTGAAGGTTTTTGAAATTCTATCTTGGGTGTTTTAACGCCGTGCGGGCTTACTAAAAATTTTTGCAGTAGAGAGTAAAAACTGTCTTATTTCAAAACGATTTTCTCTTTTATAAAGCAATTCTATTTCCGGGTACTTTTATAAATCAATACTTTGGTGTGAATAGATAAGGCCTGATGTCAGAAGCTTCCGGTGAGCAATTCTAATTTTTAACGCAAATATTAATTACGCGGTTTTGTACTTTTAACACATGTACAAATATTTCCTTGCAGCACAATAAATATTTTCAGTATATTTTAAACGCTCTTAGTTAACTAACTAAATTTTATCTCTCAAAATTCTTTAGTTGTTATTTAAGGCACACAAAAACAAGTCTTTCTTGTCGGACACACTAAGGGGAATTTCATGAGATTTCAAATTCCTTGCACTATAGTTACGACGCGCTCATGAGCGGCTTACAAAAGGCAATTTTATTTTTTATCTAAGCGTGTATGCAGTTATTCATGGGTTTTGTGTTGACAAATAAATGAAATCAATAGCAATCTCAAATTACACGACACGAGCAACTTAAGTCCTTGTATACAAATATATGAATGTACATACATATGTATTTGAATTACAAGTGCTACTTGGTACCATGTGAATCCGCATTATTGCTTAGCTATCCATCCAATGAGGCTCAAATGAAATATCTGAAAAATGTTGTGCGAATTAATTTCAGTACAGTTTGAATACATACGTAAGTACGAAAGGCACTAAATAAGTCATTAGATTTCGCTATCCTAGTGTCATTTGAGACAATCTGAAATTTGCATCGTAACATTTAACATCATTTATATAAACCTACTCAGAACGACAAATTACAAAATACATGGAAACTAAAAGTCAAGAGTGAACCGGTTCGGGGTAAATGAAACCCAGCATAAGGCTGAATATTTGAAAAAGGGTTTGTGTTGGATGATTTTTTACAACTTTCGATGTGGATTAATATAACAACAGTCCCAGCTCCCACAAGTCCTTTAGCGCAGAGATTTTTACAATGGCAAACCTCTAAGTTATTCACAAAAATACAATCGCCGTTGGGAACTCGGCGTAAAACTGTAGGTCTCTTCCCTTTTTGTGACAATATCAAGGCGCACGCCACAAATCGGCAGAGAAGCTGGGCCAAACACTATCATATTGTGTAAGTGCCGATCTATATTACTATTGTTCGCCCAGCCGTTGAAATTCAACCACTAAAATTAAGGGGAGTGGAGGTGATTTAAGATGGGTTGAGCTCAGCTGAGTTAAGGAGACGTGAATTGAACTGAAGTGAGTTTAGATGAGGTGAGATTGCATATATAAAGTGAGTTGAGGTGAAATAACATTGGTTGGGGTGAGTGAGTTTAGAATAGTTGAAGTGAGGTTAATTGCGTTGAGATGATAGACGTGGGTTTGAGTGAGGTGAGTTAAGGTTAGTTGAAGTGAACTGAGTGGAGTTTATTTGAGGTTATTTGAAATGAGCTTTGGTGAGTTGAGTTGAATTACGTTGAACAACATAATAAAGCATAACATAACAAAACATAAGAACATAACATAGCATTACATAAAATAACATAATGTAACATTAGCTGCATTTTTTTGTAAGCGAGCGACAAAAGAACGCTCAACTCGGGTAAAATTTCCTGTTAGCTACTTAAGCAACCCTGTTGGTAGCTGGCAAGAAAATGTGATTAGTTTAACGGGATTTAGATACAAACACCAATTTAAATGAGTAATTATGCGAGGTATTTGCGTAATATATATACTCTTTTAAAATATAAGTCACGTATAAAAGGAAGCAAAAATTTCCCTCTCCACTTTCCCATTAACAATTCATAATAGAGCAGTTTTTTCTCATTGTCTGTATCTTTAGCTTTCTTTACTTTTATTTTAATCTTTGCCTTTAACCCTTTCTTCATTGTACATATTCAAGATTACCTTACTCCTTACTACACCGGAACTGAGCTTGTATCTGTAATTTAGGATCAATATTAAAGCATACATTTAGGGGGCATTTCCTTCCAAACAATGTAAATATGTACATGTAGGGCATTTGCATTGGTGTCACTTTTGAATTGATTTTTTCGCTTTATATTAAACTTATTTGAAATTTGAGTTATAGCGTTTTGCTTATCTAAAGGCTTGGCTAATGTAAAGACTTATTTAGTGGCTTTCGTATTACTTCGTAGTTATGCTTGTATGTATGTATATGTTTTGCCCATGGACATGCTTGTATGTACCTTGTACAATGAATGTTATACATACACATGTATGTACATCCAAATGTAATGTAAATACTGCAAGTGATTTTCTCATTGTTATTAGTGGCTT